GCTTTGACCCCCCCGCGCCCCCCGCCCCCCGCCAGCCTGCCGGGGCCTTTTTGCTGGGGCGCGCTGGTCCCGTGTCCTGCGCCCACCCGCCCGCATGCGCGTGTGCGCGCACATCCTGTGCAGTGGGAGCTCGTTTTTTCTCCGCTCACATACACAGATATCCGCACGAACAAGTGGCCCTAGGCCCCTGTTCTGCACACGTAGCCGAGTCGATGTGTTGGCGGTGCTTGCGGCGCCCTCCCTGGCGCCCGCGCGGCGATGCACAGCGTCACCCCGCCACCCTCCGCCGTGTACGCCGGCACGCCTCCGCGCTCTGCCTCGGCGTGCCACTCATCATCGGCGAGCTTTGTGCTGCTCGTGTAAACTCTTCACACCCATGCTGCGATGAAGCCTGGATGTCAGGGGAGGTGACCAGACATAACGCTTGGCGGGGAAGTGCGAGCAGGGGGGCTCAAAAGCTGGGAAAATGTGGCGCGCATGTGAGTATGCTTGACCCATGATACCGTTCGCCTGGGCCGCACTGCTTGGCAGGCAAAGTAGTCATCAGAAATTGTGTGTTTGGGAGAAGATGAGATATATTTACGAATTACCTCAAGTACAGGGAGTCGTAGTTAGCCATTACCATCTGGCGGGAGGCGTGCAGCTGCAAGTGTACCGTATAGCAAGCAGTAGAGAGCTCAAAGCAAATTAGCTTATCCCTGCGCGTGCTCGCTCAGCTGGGACTTGCATCACAAACAAGCGCGACGCTGAGTAGACCACAGCGCCACGAAGGGCTGGAGCGCGGGTGACAGCAAGGCGGCAACAAGCAAAGCGCCAAAGTGTGTGCGTATGCGTGTGCAGAAGAGACATGTCACAAAATATGGGCAGGTGCGTTTTTTTGTAGTATCCTGGTTTATTGTCAACAGTCATGTCACGCCGACATGAGGTGGGGTTGGGGAGGGGTGCGGCGCCCGCTTGCATGCGCATGCTGCAAGAGTCCTCGGATCGGTGCGCATATCAGCAACAGCATACGAACACAGATTTTATTACAATGTTGTATTATAATTTCATGTTTCTTGAGACAAACAGCGAGAGTTTCTGCAGCGAGTGTAAACCGCTAGCTTCTCAGTCCTACGCGCTTTCTGGGACGTCTAACCACGTTTGTTGGCCTTCATTGTTTGGTTTGATTGGTGGACGCGAGGGACGCAGCAGGGATGCTGCCGCGCGTCGATGCCGCGGCAGCGCAGCATGGCAGCGGCGCTCGCAGCGGTCGCAAGCTGGTGGACATGGCGCAGAAAGCGCGCGGGAGGACGCCTTTGAAGTACGAGGTCACCATCATCCCCTTCTTCTGCGGTGAGGCCGGCGATCGGAAGGGGGTGCGTTGCCGACGACCGCGTTTGTCGGCGCCGACATGCCCAGCAACTGCAGAGCCAACCTGCCTGTGTGCGCGGACCCACAGCATCCTACTGCGGAGCCTTCTTTCGGCAATGATTAAGTGTGTGTTGGATGACAAGATATTTGCCAGTCAAAGTTGGGCGGCAGCGGTGCCCTGCACCAGGCATCAGTGCCTGAGTGCTGCGATCCCGGCGTCGCCCACTCCGCAGGCGAGCTGCCGTCTGGCCTTGACAGGCTGTCGTTTGTGTGGGAGCGGGGATCCAAGGTATTTGCAACAGAGCCTGAGCCGGTTAACCCGCACACCAAGGCCTGCTTCTGGCAGCAGTACCTACGGCAGGTGCGTGCGCGCGGTGGGCCCTGCCCTCCAGCAGAGGTCTGCCAGCGCTCTCAGGAAGGGGTGGGCGCATGCTGCGATTTGCGGCACCTGCCACCCAGGCAGTGTAGCGGGTCATCGCTCTTGCACTGACAATCTTCTCTCTCAAAGTCTGGTTAATTCTCTATGGCCCCTGATTCTCTTGCCCTTCACTCCAGACCATAACCGTGTACCAGGACGGGGGTGTGTTTGTGCCCAAGGAGTACACCCTCAAGGTGCAGGCCGTCAGGGCGCGCGGCCGGGGCGCCGAGGACCGCCGCACGGTGGGGAAGGTCAAGGTGGACCTGGCGGCGTTCTGCAATGCAGAGGTGGAGCCGCTGCCGCGCGAGGTGTTCCTGCAGCTCAAGTGAGCAGGAGCCTGCGGGACTGGGTGCAGCAAGTGCTGTGTGAGCCGCGCAGCGTCCTCTGTCGGCTGCGCCCTGCACTGAACTCTGCAGATGCTGGGTGCTCCTGTCAGCAGAACAAGAAGGACGCGCGGTTTTGCAACAATTCAGGGCATTATTGAGCATTCAATTTTGAAATGAGGGCGCCGGGAGCAGCACATCGTGACAGCCGGCTGCCGGGAGCAGCACATCATCACAGCCGGCTGATTTGCAGGAGTTCTGCAGCCCCCAAGCTGGCACGGCCTGCCACCGAAGACCCAGCATTGGCTAGCGCCGGCCTTCATGCCACCGCCGCCAGTGCCCAAACCCGCTGCACCCCACACACCCTCAGGCCAGTAGGCAAGCTCAAGCTGTCGATCAAGGCCGGCTGGCTCAAGGGCGCCGCCATTGACCTGGACGCCCTCACTGAGGCCTCCTTCTACACGCAGCGCAGCGGGGAGGAGGCCGACCACTGCGGCGGCGGCACGGCACGCAGTCACTTTGGAGCGGGAGAGGATGAGCAGGACTTGAGCGGGTTCGAGGGGGTCGCGGCGGCCGGCCATGTCGGAAGTACAGGGGCGGTGGGCACCCCTGCGGCGGGTGCGCGTGGCGGTGCCGGCGGCGCGACGGCGGCTGGCCGGCAGCAGCAGCCGCAGCCGCAGGGCCAGCAGGGTGCAGCGGCCTCGTTGCCGGTGACGCAGCAGCACAAGGGGAGCCCTCTGGCAACCATCAGCTCGCCGGCCAACAGCGCCACTGGCGGGTCACCGCGCATCGCTGCAGCAGCGGTGGGCGGAGGTGCCCGGCCCAAGCTGCCAGGGGAGATTGCACAGGTGGGAGCCGGCAGGAGGCCAGGGGTGTTGGGAGTGCTCAGCAGAGGGGAACCTAGCAAGAGGCGGAGCCATGCACGGGCACGGAGCAGAATGCTCATGATGTGCTCCACGATCTCCCTTGTCTGTGAGCCTGCAGAGCGCTGATTGCTACCATGCTGCCGCCTTCACCATGCGCAACTCCTCCTCGTCCCAGTTTGAGGTGCCCCTTTCGGCCGAGGAGCAGCGCGAGGAGGTGGAGCGCCAGAAGCGCAAGGTCATGGAGGCGGCCGAGCAGCACGTGAGCGCGGATCCGCGGGAGGGACGGGGCCAGGCGGGTGGGCGGGCGGAGCTCCTGGAGCAGTGCCCCAGGCACTGACAATGGCAGCTCCTTCGGGAAGCAGTGCCAAGGCCAGCGTGCGGCTTTCCGCAGCATTGCCATTATCCCACGCGAAGTCTGCCTCCCCCCTCGCTCCCATGGCCCCATCAATTTCTACGATGACTACCCCCTACCCTCCACGCACCCCAAGATTGCGGCCATGCGTCGTGACATGGAGGACGCCCTCAGGACAGAGCTGGTCCTGGCAATGCAGTCACAGCGCACCGCCTGGTGGCAGGCACTCTGCTGCTGCTGGCCCAGGCGGCAGGTGGGAAACAATTGTGCAAGCCCATGGCGCCTGCTGCATTCAGACGCACAGCTGGCCCATGCTGGGGCGCATGAGGTGTGAGCGATACCCGACCCAGCCCACACCCATGATCTGCGCTCTGACTCCAACCCCTTTCCATTGCAGGCCTACGCGCGGCCGACAAATGAGGTGGCTACGGTTGAGATTGTGGCGCCAGGCGCCGCTGTGCCACTCACTTGTGCGGACCTCTAATTGGCAGTTGCAGATGGCCACAGAGACCGTGTGCTCTGGTGTTTTTCTTGTTTTTGAGGTTGGAACCTAGCAGGACAGGATGTATTATCTTTCTGGGGTATAGCTTGAGACCAACATTTCGTGCACCCCTGAGAGCTGTTCAACCATCAGGAGGGTGTTCAACCACAAGGAGGGCGCAACTCTTGTGGGAGGTGCAACAATACGGCAACAAACAGCAGGGGAAAGGGAAACGCAGCAGCTGTGCATGAATGGGCATGATAAAGAGGCAAGGTGGGCAAGTGATACTGATAATATTGGTGGTGTTACACATGGCGCATGTTTGCGCGGCATGCCGCCCTGTTATCCTGTAAGCGTCCTGAAGACCACTTGGCAACTACAACCCCGGCCACTTTGCGTGGGGATACTGCAAACACTCTTGGCTGGATGCCATGCTCCGTAAAACATTAAAAAACACCTTGGCTGGCTTGTGGTTTTGCTCGCAAGCATGTGAGCGCATGTGTGAATAAAACTTTATCACAGGATATTGAAAAAGTCGCATGCAACAGCACGCCTTGGCACTGCCAGCAGCCATAGCTGAAGAGAGGAGTGGAACTCGTGGATACCGAATCACAAGAACTTCAAAGTAAAGTTCATGTGATGGCCCGGCACACATCGCCAGCGCATGGCCTGCCCCAGTGAAGAAACCCGCGTGCTGCAGGCACACTGTGCTGCTTCAGACAGGCGCTGAGGTCTGAAACTGGATGGCGTGCAGGCCGGCGCCTGGCTGCTGGTAGGGGTTTGTCATTCCCTGGGGCACCCCAAAGTCCTTGCCCAGAACGATAATGAGCACAAAGTTGGTGATGCCCAGCAGCACAAACCCGGCGGCCGCCGCATTGACCGAGTCCTGACCGATGTCCCTGACGTTGATGGGACCAAGCGCGACCTGTGTGATGAAATTGTGGGCTGACAGCATGACGCACATGGTGGCCAGCACGAAGAAGGCAAGGAAAACGATCTGCCCACGCTTGAAGGAGCGCTCCAGGAAGCAGGTGATGAAGAGCGCCAGGAGAAGGGCGAACTCAAACCACACGCTCCACCACTCCCACCTGCACAGTTGAGGACGTGGAGTAAGTGGGGTAAGAGGACGGGTGCAGGAGAGAAGAGTCAGGCAACCAAACACGCACAAGGGCGGGCGCCGTATGCCCCCACAGCTGCAGTGCATTCGCTGGTGCAGCACTACAGCAGAACAGCTCAAGGCTGGCATCGAAAAGTTGCCAAGACGCTCACTGATAATCCTTAGCGCAGAGCTCGTATGATTGCGTAGTCTGGCATTGGTAGCTGGCCGCACCTGCGCGCAGCGAAGCACGCGAGCACAGAACAGCACGGCGCGCGAGCAGCGGCTGAGCGGCATGTCGCAGCGCATCCAACGCCGCAGTGTCCGCTGCGCAGACTCTGCATGCCACAACGCCAACACCGCGCAAAGTGAAAAGCAATGTACGCATCTTTTTCTGATAGCAACTCAGCGAGCCCTCCAGTCCGCGAAAACGTACGAGGACTGTGTGGTGCCGTCCAACCCTCTGCACTGCTCACCGACGCCTGCGAGGGTCACGATCCAGCTTAAAAGCCCAAATATAACCACCGCCAGTCCGACGGGGTGGATCTGCAGACGTGCCATTCGCAAAGCCGCCCAAGAGCCGTTTGGTGTTGTAGATGATGTTTTGACTTGTCGAATACGAATTTTCCGTGCTCAGTAGACGTGGGTTGATTGGGGTCAACATGCTGTGCGTGGACTCTAAACAGCGTTTTGTGTCCAGGGTGCACCTGCTGGCCCAGCTGCCGCTGGCGCCGCGCCGCCGTTCGCGACGTGACCATCACTAACCATGCAGGCAGGAATCCAGAACGGATGGCATCAAGTGTAAATGCCTCGTTGTGGAATGTGTTGGGTGGTCGAATGCTCCGGCACGCCTGCTGCGGTGGCACATGCAAACAGCATGGGCCCAAAGGTCAAGAGCTCGACCAAGCTCTCAGATAAGCATATGTGATGTCGGTATCGGTGTTGAGACCAGCACACCCATTTTGTGACATTCCTATCTCATACTGACAGACGTTGTGTGCATGCAGCATTTCTTGCCGTCCATACAATACCCTGTGCATTTCTTGTAGAACATCCCATACGTGTTGCATGTGCGTTGCAAACAACAATCCAGATGAGCAGCACATCTCGGCATGTCATGTCCATGACGGCAGCGTACATGTCCTGCCACGCAAACCCGCTGTGGCCGAGCCCTTACCTGGCAACCAAACGTACGGTGTTGGTGTGCCAAGTGGTGTGTCGTCGCTGGCGTGATATACATGCACACCTTGAATGACAGGGGCGTAAAATCGATCATCAGCTGCAGGCGTCAGCCGGGACGAGCCCCAGCTCGGGTGCGTGTCACCAAGCGGGTGACAAAACCAGGGTCGTTTCTGGCCAAGTTTTCGTGTTTTCACGCTATTTCAAGTGTGTTTAAAATGCCTGCTAGGTACGTCGTCGTTTTGGTGGCCCTATGTGCGTGCTGGGCTGCCCTCACGGGGGCCCAGCCGAATTCGGACGTGCCAGCCAGAAGCGAGCAGGATGGACAAGGTGCCTTGGACAGCCCATTCGACTATCCGGAGACCATAATACGTGCTGAAGGTACGGAACATGCACGGGGCAGCGCACAGGCGCGCACACACCGCGGGAGTGCGCGCTGCCCCATATCACACCACAAAGAAGCAGCTCACCCCTCCTTCTGGGGCCAACGTGATTTATGCAGGCATGCAAGGGATGACAGTGATGGCTGCAGGTATGGAGGTCGAGTCACAACAGCCATGTCGCCTGATCGTGCGCTTCCGGCGCTCAATCGATGTCAATGCGGCAGTGGGCAGGTGGGTGGGTTATTGGGGACGGGCAGGCAGCATCGGCATGCATGTTTTGCTGGGGACTCTCATCTGGCATATAGGTGGGCACGCTGCACGGCAAAGCTTGTGGGGCCGCCTACTGTGATGCATGTTGCGTCACTAGCAGCAGAACGAGGCAGAAGCTGTCCACACTTGGTGGCTCACCGCAACACATGCACCATCCCGGACTTGCCTGGTCTTTGCACCTTTCTGTCAAACCTTCAGGCTGATGGCGACCCCTGTGTCTCAGCTGGTTAGTACAGTCAGCAGCATGGACCTGTCAGCGGCGGGTGCCCCTGTGCTGGCCCAAGTCCAGGGTGTGATGGAAGTCAAGCGACTCAGGGGCGCCGTGCGCGGCCTGGCCCTGCAGCTGCCAACAAGCCTCAACACACCTGATGCAGTAGCCGGCCTGAGGTCGCTTTCATTTGTCGAGGATGTGGAGCGGGAAGGCATCGTCACGGTGCAGATTGCTAATGGTACGCAGACGCGCTGCCAGGGGTGACAGGCGGGATTGCTCGCAACTGCACCTGCCCAGACCTGGGAAAGAGGGGGGAGGTTGAACCAAGAGCATGCAGCAGGCCAGTCAAATATGAAATCATTGCAATGCCAGATAGTGCTGCTGTCAGCGGTCACTCATGCTGGTATAGCCAATTTCTGCTATCCCTGCACCGTAGTGGCTGCGGCTGGCGTGCCGACCACCGCACCCATTGGGCTCCTGCGCACGGGGCTGGCGCGGCTGGAGGGCAACGACCTCAAAGTGCAGCCCACTGTGACTAATGCCACATCTGTGTCTATTGCCATCGTCGACACGGGGGTGGACAGCAAGCACCCTGACATCCTGCTGGCTGGTGGCAAGGACTTCACGCCGGACAATGACTACGGCCTTGACGGCAACGGGCACGGAACCCATGTGAGGATTGACTTTTGGGGAGAGGACATAATCAGCCGAATTGGGGGTCATTGGCAACTTTCTTTGCCAACATACGCATAGCAGAAGTGTACCCAGCAGGTTTCTCACGCATGACGGTGTCGTAAGGCCATGGCTCCCAATGCTGATTCCCTTGCCTGAATGTCGCATGGCCAACAGGTTGCGGGCATCATTGGCGCGCTCAACAATGGTGCTGGAGTTGTCGGTGCTGTGCCTGGTGAGTCTCCCAAGAGGCCCCCACCAATGATTGGATTTTGAGCACTTGCTCACCCGATCATCACAAGACTTGCACTGCCCGGACGTCATTGAATCCCCTGTTGTCACACCCTTCTGTGCCCCCCCCCACATACCCACGTCCTCTGGCCCCTATCTGATGTCGCAGGCGCCCCCATATGGTCCCTCAAGGTGCTGAGCGCATCCGGCCAGGGCACTACAACAGGCGTCATTGATGCCCTCAACTGGGTTGCTGACAACGGCCGTGCCCGCAACATTCGTGTCGTCAACCTCAGCCTCAGTGGCCCGCGCAGCAAGATGATTTGCGATGCAATGCGCGAGGTCGTGGCGCAAGGCATCACTGTCATCGCCGCAGCCGGAAACAATGGGATGGAGATTTCATCGGGGTCACCGAGCGACTGCAGCTCTGCCCTGGTCGTCACCGCCATGGCGGATTACGACGGCAAGCCTGGCGGCAAGGCGCAGCCACCCAAGTCGCCTGGCGCACCCACCACGCCCGACGACACAGCCGCATCGTTCAGCAACTACGCGATGTCCCGCAACGCGCACGTCGTTGCGGCGCCGGGCGTGCACGTGCTGTCGACGGTGCCTGCTGCGCGCTGCGGGCCTCTCAAGTGCACCCAGGCGGGGCCGTACGCCTACCTGTCGGGGACCTCGATGGCAGCGCCCCTGGTGTCAGGCATGGCAGCGCTCTGCTACAACAGTGGCGCGTGTGCTGCGAAGCGCAGCAGCTCCGCAGGCGCGCTGTACACCTCGATCTACAACGCCGCGCGAGCGGACCGCGGAGCCGGGTTTGTGGGTGACCCCAGCACCCCACTGGCGCGCAAGTTCTACGGCTACCTCGCCACCAACACGTTTTAAGGAGGAGATGTTGCGGTGGGGCGTTCACCGGTGTGTCAGCATGTGGACGGCCGCCCTTGCACCTGGAACTCTAAGGATACTGGCAGCTGGCGCGTGGCAGACACCAAGCCGTTCGCGTCATGGTTGGAGTGGCTCGCAACGGCAAAGGAGCAAGCTGTTGTGTCAGCATTGGGTTGCACCTTGCCTTCGTTTGCGAGAGAGGAGCTTGTGGACTCTGATTTTATTTCAATCTTTGTGCTGAGTCAGGATGGGTTTTTTGGCCAGAGCCATTGCTCAGCCTCTTGCTAGCGCCGCATGGCCTTCGTCGCTCAGTCCTGAACTGAGACTAGGTACCTGGTGCTGCAGCATCCACCTGACCCCATTTGTGCACCTGGCACGTCGAGCGCCGTCCGGCAGCTCCTCCGGAGGCTCCACGTGCACTTTCAGGAATGCAGCACTTATGCACAGCGCAAAGCGCACGCGCGGCCCTACAACTGCGCTACCCGGCGCACAACACAATCGCACCAGCAGACAGTTGTACCACCAAGACAACCCGGTGCTGCGATCTGCTGCAAGATGTTGCATACTGCCACACCGCAGCACCGCCACCATCCGGCAAACCCCGCCAGCTTTGCAAGCACCCATCATTGCGCCTTGTGCGCTGCAATATCACACGGCTTCCCATAGTCAAGACTCGTGGCCTAAACAAGCAGCCTGTAAATCACGGCTGCACGGCTGCTGGTAGCAGAACACCAGGCGCAATGGTGGGCACTGTCGTCCAGTGCAGCCGCGGTATGCTCTGGCCGCGTTCGTGGCGCGGGGTCTGGAGAGAACCCAGTGTGAACAGCCTCAGTCATGCCCACGTTTACTTCATCGGCAGCGAGCTGCACGCAAGACTGATTTCATGATCGGGTTTGCACAGGTATTACCAGTCAGTGGAGCAGTTGGGCAAAATTCGCTTGCGGAGGGCGCAGGATTCGCCCTGCCGAGCTGATTAGAGCCCTTGCACCTGCCCATGCGTGCCCTTCTGCCAATTCAACTCTGTCACTGCGACGACTCTTCAGAAGAACGTCCCCACTGGCAAGATCATCACTGTTGCACATTGAGTAACACACAAACAACGGTTGCTTACAACAGGCAGGACACGGGGTTGGCAAGCGCGCAAAGGAAAAAACTGCGCTAGCATGAAATGCAGCCTGCAGCTCGCCAAGGGATGCACGCTGCAGCGAACACAAATCGAACCTCACCGACCTGCCATTCACGCAGGCTTGGCCTTTTTTGAGGGTGGCACAAGCGCCAGTGTACCCTGGCTGGCGCAATCCAGGGCCATGCCGGCCACCATGGCACCGCAGTAGGCCGCCACCTGGGGGGGAGGAACACCAGTAGCAACCAGCGCCACCAGGGCAGGCCTGCCGGAAATAGTTGCGGCGATGGTAGGCATTACAATAGGGGAGGGTGGGGCAGGGTTGGTATGGCTGGTGAGGCGTTGAAACGCCCACAAACGAAGGGTGGAGTGTCCAGGGGGTGGCAACCAAAGCATGCCGCCTGCCTTCCCTGGGGAGGTTGCAAGCCAGAGCCAAACCTCCCAAAAGCGCCCTGGTCCATATCTCCATTGCAATGTCAGAGCATGGCCGCCCAGTTTCTCACCCAGGGCACATGCCGCTGAGTCCCCAGCCCGCGCCGAATAGCAGCCCCCCAAGCAGCAGGCGCGCGTCGATGGCCTTGGCTGCCGGCTCCAGGTACGCGTCCCCGGCCAGCGGCTTGGGCGGCGCCGACCGCGCGCGCTTGACCCACTGGAACCCTGGCAGCGCAACCAGCAGGGCGCCGCCCATGACGCACATCAGCGTGGGGTCCCACGCAGGGTAGAGGGGGCTCAGGAAGGCCGCGACCTTGGTGGGGCGGACCATTCCCGTGTACGTGAGGCCGAACGCAAAGAGGCCCCCGGCCACGAGCTCTGTGAGCAGCGAGACCGCCTTCCTGGAGCCGGCCTCGATACCCTTGGCCAGGGCGCCGCAGCCCGCGACCCCCAGGATGGCTGCCGCCACCAGCATGGCACCCTGCGTGAACGCAGCATCAGGGGTTAGAAGCAAGGGTGTTGACCCAAAGATGGACAGCCCACTGGCGTGGCAACAGCAGGACGGGCTTGCACCTGAGCAACGGCTGAAGACCCGCTCTCGTGCATGTCTGTACGGCCACCACCAGGAACCCCCAGGCACCACACAGGCACAAACCTGGTTGATGACCACATCACTAGGCCACCAAACCAGTGGCGCCGTTTGCGCCAAGATGCCCAGAGCTTGCGCGGTGCCAGACAGCGTCGCTGCCGCCACGCCGGCCGCCATGAACGTTAGCGTGTACGCGAAGGACCTGTAACAAATGATGAGGAGGGACCCAGCAGTAAACAGGAAGCCGGGGTGCTTGGTGACAGCAGCCCCCGGTAACGCAGCAACCATGCCGGCAAGTGCAGGCAGACCTTGCTGTGACCCTGCGTTTGAGTGCGATGCTTGAATGCCTGCCCCCTTTTTCCAATACGGGCAAGGAGGCACCTGGCGCTCAGGCGGGCGTTGCCGCAGATGCCATGACCGCTGGTGCAGCCGTTGCCCACTGATGCGCCCAGCCCCACCAGCAGGCCGCCCAGCGCGGCACGCTCAACCTGGGCCGAACCGCCAGCGCGTAAGGGCGGGGGCAGGGGCTGAGCACAGGTGTGTCCATGTTGCGTCCATTGCCGATGCGACCAGCAACAGCAATCAGCTCTGGATGAGCGGAAAGCATCTCGCTGCATGACAAGGCGGGGGCACCGGGGATGCGGGGGACATACCGTGTACGATGCTGGCAGAGTATCAAAGGCCGCAGGTGTGATGAATCCGGCCACCATGGCTGCCGCCAGCAGGCCGCCGTTGAACGCCACGCGCCACGACCTCCAGTCGCCCTGGTGGGGACGTGAGACATGGCAGGGGCCGGAAGACCGCCGTTGCAAGCTGAGGCATGGCGGGTTTTGCGAGCGCGTCGTCGTGGGTCTGGGCCCACATGCCAGGGAATACTGCCGGCTCTCTGGCCTCCCAGGCCAGGCTGGCAGGCTGCTACAGCACACTCCCTGCGCCAGTGGCCTCACCGTCAGCCATCCTTTGATGCCGCCTGTGGAGATGGACGCACGAGGGTTGCCGGTGGCATCATGGCATGGGAGCCCAATGTTCTCAGTAACGGGCACCCTGCCGCGCTGCAGCAGGCCCCGAACAGCAACCATCTCAACGCAACTGCGGGATGTTTGCAAACGCCTGCACTGTCCCGCGCATCGCAGGGCCGATACGCACAACACAGTCTCACCTGAAATGCCCAGGACACGCCCATTGATGACGTACTTGCCGAAAGCCGCCAGGCCCAGCACCGCGCCCCCCGCCAGGCCCACCAGGGGCGTAAACTGCATGGCCGTCTGAAGCACTGGGCATCCGCAGCCCACCAGGGAAGGGTGCGCGTTTAGTGCGGGGGCTCGTATTGCCTAGCTGGCGAGCAGCCATAGTGTGTCGCAGCGTGTCGCAGCGCCGCCGACCCGCCCGGCCACGCCACTCACTGGGAGCTGAAGGAGGAAGAAGTGCGTTCGCGACGAAACCCTCGACGCCCAACGAGGCCCTGACACGCGCGGCACGCTTGCAGGTCACGGCACGGATTGCTGATCTGGTGAAATCGACCCTGGCGTACCGAGAGTGCTGTTTCATCAACATTTCAAGCGTTTAAAGAACTATGGTACTTTGTGCATCAAGCGTCGGCAGGACGGACGCTGGAATGCGCTGGTGGCACATAAGATAGTATGAAATTACACGCTGTAAGATTAAGGGATCACTGGCGTATAGATCCGTTTGAGAGGGGGGCCAGCCATCTGGCATCCACGACGTTGCGCAGCACACTCTCACTGGTGACCGGCCAGCAGTGCCCTACTGCCACTCATCAATCGCAGATGCCTTCGCGAACGGCGCACGGTTCCAGACTACCGTGTTGCACGCAGAGCATGTTGGTGACTACCTACGCCACGCCCTCTGGCCGCCAAACAGGGGAGAACAAGTTCAACTGAACACAGCGCGTTGTGCCGTAGGCTACCTCAGCTCGACCTTGAGCTCCCCCGACACGCCCTCACGCACGCGGTCCTGCAGGGCATTGATCTCGTCGTCGGTCAAGCTGCGCTCCATGCTGCGGTAGGTGATTCGGAAGCAGTTGCTGGTGCGCTGCGTCTTGGGGTGCGTGAACGAGTCAATCAGCGTCACCTCCTCCACCAGGTCGCCACCGATGCCTGGCGGGAAACAAACGTGAGCAGGAGGGGGGGGGGGCGCGGGGGTGTCACAACCCAGGACTGAGGTTGGTGAAGAGAGGCTGGAAGGTGACCAGACATATCAGACACGTCAGGGTGCGTCATGAACCACGCTGTGCTGGGGGTGTCAGCAAGAGGGTTGGGTGCAGACTTGCACCCTACCCATCCGAACGTCGTCATCCAAGTGCAGCATGTCCGACTCCTTGACCAGGGCCCCAACCCTGCCGTAATGCGTCCCCTCCCACTCTCCTGCCCCTCGCTCACCGCGCACGAGCTCGCACAGGTTGTTCTCGGTAAACTCGGGGCTGACCCAGAACGCCATGTCCTTGTAGCAGGGTGGGAACTTGCTGTATGACTTGAACTTGGCCTTGAGGTCGCCAGCCTTGAACTGCCGCAGGAAGCGCTCATCGCCACTCCAGAAGAGGCGGATGTCAGGGATGTCGAAGAGCACCATGGCCAGGCGCTCCAGACCCAGGCCAAAGGCCCAAGCCTTCTTGCCAGAGCCGTCGGGGTAGTTGGCGTCCAGGATCACCTGCTCCATCACGCCGCAGCCCAGGACCTGGTCGTGGGTTTGTTTGGGGGGAGTGAAAGCGTGCATTGGCAGGTTTAAGGGTGGCAGGTAGGGGAGTGATGGGTCGGACTGGCAGGATCAGGAAAGGTGCAGTCCTCAGGACACAAACTTGGGTTCATGGGCACGTGAAAGCATAACAGCTGAGCTCTTTCTAGGGAAGAAGATACGAGTCGTCCCAAATTCAGCAGCAGCAGCGGCAGCAGTGGCAGCAGTGGCAGCAGTGACGTGTGAAGGGGCGGTCACCTCAAGCCATTTTCCATTGAAGAAGATCTCCAGCTCAAACGAGGGGTTCGTGAAGGGGAAGTAAGCATCAACCCAGCGGCACTCAATGTTGGCACCAAACAGGGTCCGAGCCATGCCCTGAGGTGTGTGTGTGTGTGTGTGTGTGAGTGAGTGTGTGAGTGTGTGAGAGAGTGGCGTGGCAAGAGGGGTAAGACGCAGGCAGGGGCATGCAGCATGGGCATGAGCTTCCAGGATCAACACGAGTTCGCATCACCCCACCAAATGGCTGGCACATGACATCTCGACCCTGCTATTATCGCACTGTCCGCCGTAAACCCTGTTCGTCGAAGCACGTGTCATGCCTGCACGCCCCCTGCTGCCTGGATGATGTTTTGCCCTTTTGTTCGAGCGCAGGCTATCCCCTCCTTCCCACCTCCAGCGCGGCCTTGAGCTCCCTCTCAGCAAACTCAGTGGGCCCCAGCCCGGCCGCCGTCCACTCGTCCGGCGAGAACACCCTGACGCCCTCCATCTGGTGGAACACCGGGTAGTGGGTTGCGTCGATGCTGTCGCGGCGGTACACGTCACCTGGGTGGGAGGGGGCCGGCATCAAAGTGGCCGAGAGACTCAAAACAAGTCATGTTGCACGCCCATCACTGCTGCATCTTGCCACTGGAAAAACACACCTCTTCTGGCGTGAACACCACCTCAACCGCCTCACCTCCCTGCTCAAAACAAGTGGCCAGCTCATTTCAGCGCCTGCCTGCCGGGTTCTGTTCCCGTCACTCGTCCCAGACTTCCAAATGCAGCTGCCCCAACCCAAACCAACCCACCGGTGACAAGGAAGCCCGGGTGCCCCAGGCGCAGCAGCTCAGCTTGGTGGGCGCTGGTGTGGCAGCGCAGCACGGTGTCTGCGTTGACGTAGTACGTGTCGTTCGGGGACCGGCTGACGTGGTCCTTGGGCACCAGCACCTCATCAAAGTTGGAGTGAGCCGACACCACCGGGTGCAGCCCGTCAAAGGTCTTGAATAGGCCTGGCTGGTTTGCCTGGAAGTAGTTGTAGATGGCCTGCTTGATAACGCAGATCGGGTGGTCAGGCTGCAGGTGCAGGTTGGTGCCCATCTTCGAGTAGATATAGTCGGTCACGTTGTTGGCAGGGTCCCCGGTGAGCACTTCGGAGCGCGGCGGCGCTGCCGGCACAGGCGCAGCCTCCACAGCGGCTGCACGCGCCGATGTTGAGAGGCGGCGCGAGAGGCGTGCCCGCAACGGGCGGCCGGAAGGCAATGAACCGCTGCTGCTGCTGCTGGTGCTGGGGGCGGTGCTGCTGCTGCTGCTGCTGCTGCAGCCGCCACTGCTGGCGGCGGCGTGGAACGGCGAGGCGGGAGCGGCCTGTTGGATCGACCAGGCAGATGGACGCCCGCCCATCCCCTGGCCGATGGCAGACATCACACGGCGCGAGCCAAGGAATGTGGTGGCCCGCATGGCTGCTGTGCTGCGTGCTGCGCCTGCCTGAGGGGCAGAATACAGCTGGTCCTTGAGGGCCTGCGGCTGCGCACAGGAGCGTATGCAGTGTGTGGGCGAGGCAGCGGACGCGATGCGCGCCACAAGCACGCCTGAGGGCCACGAGCTGCGCGAGGGCTGCTCATGCGGTTCAATATACAAGCTTTTAACAATCAAGATTATGAATATGCCGTTGCCGTGCATTTGTCGCGTGGTGGCTCGTGCAGCAGCTGGTGCCTCGGTGCCCAGGAGCTCATTTGGCCAGGAGACACCGCCATGAATGAAACGTTTGTTTTACTGCGCTAATCCGCTTCAGTGGGCCCACCTAGTGCAGCGACTGTCGCGGGCGCGAAGACCACTGTTAGACAAGCGCGTTCTAAGCAGGCGCCGTTAAACGAATGATGTGAAAAATCCTTGAACCGTGCGTTTAAGATTCAGACCCGAGCATTGAGAATAGTTTGGACGGCATCACCTGGGTGCATGTGGACAACGCGCGCAGCCAGGATGGTCCGTGTTATGTGGGCGCATACAACCATAACAGCTGATTGCAGCAAGCTTGTGAGGCCGTAGCTCCTACCGATGCTGACCGTCGCCGGGGCGTCCAGTGCCGCCTGCGCGCTGCTGTTGCTGCTCCGCGAGGTGCGCCGTTCCCGGCGAGGCACTCACAGCGCCGAAGATGCAAGTGCTGCGCGGCAATTGGCAGGCGCACGTAGCAGGGTAGGTGGTCTCATACGGGTGGTAGAGGACCCAATCTTATGCGGCGGCCTTGGCACAACACGCCAATCCTGCTCACCCAAATACAGCTCTTGCGTTGCGGGGTCCTCGTTCCCCTCCGCATGATCAGACACGTTCTCAACCAATGCATGCGCAGGAGCAGCAGCCTGGCGCACGCTCCAAGCGTGACGCGCTGTGTGCTGAGTGGGCGGGCCGTATCCCTGCTGGCGAGCTTGCTCCGTTGGTGGCGCTGGTGCGAACTGTCCAGGCCGCACGCGGCTGGCGCGACGGCCGCTACAACTTTGGTCAGGCTTGGGCGCGTGTCGAGGCACGTGCGGCGGGTGATACATGTGGTGGTTGGGATGCAGACTTTGAGCCACAGGGCATGTGCGATACACGGGTGGCAGCGCTGGCAGCAGTGGTTGACGAAGAGTTGCTGGGCGGCCTGATGCTGGGCACCACCCTGCTGCGAGAGCCGTGGCGCAGTCGCGGGCGCAGCCTCGTCATGTCAGGCAGCGCGCGGCAGGTGGTGCCTGGAAGTGGCACGGCAGGGGCGTCGAGTGGAGACACGGGACGTGTGCAGCCATCAGTGCCCCCGAAGCAGCAGCAATTCAGCGGAGAGCAGCCGCTTTCACATCAAGACCAGCACCCCCAACGACAAAAGCAGCAGCAGCAGCAGCAGCAGCAGCAGCAGCAGCAGCAGCAGGAGGAGGGAAAGCTGCCATCACAGCAGCCACGTGCGCGGAGGCTGCAGCGCCCATCAGGCCCGCGAGCCGCCCTGCCATTGCCGCATCCCCCACCCCCGCCGCCTATAGCCTACCGGGTGGTCGACCGCCGCGACGGTGGCTGGCTGGCTTACTTTGACGAGTCGGGGGCGGTCTACATAAACCGCTGGCGCTGGGACAAGGACGTGTCGCGGTCGGCGCCCGTCAATTGCGAGGGTGTCGTGTGCGTCAGCCGGCTGCAAATGTTGCTGCACACTCTCGCGCACGAGCTGGTGCACGCCGTTGTGTTCTATGCATTTCCCCACATTGATGCGTCCAGCGCCGCCTACCTCGCCAACAGCCGCCATGGCCCGGTGTTCCAGCTGCTGAATCGGGAGCTGTTCGGGCACACCAGCAATGCGCTGTCACGCTGCACCGCACGCGCGGCGCTTGGTGGTGTTGAGTGATGCTGCGGCTGAAGTTCTGTTGCGTGAATGTAAATTTGCTGGTGTTGTGTTTGTCAGAAGAGCTCCTTGTGGGGTGGATGGGTTGTGTTTTTTGGTCTGCGCTTTCAGCGGCATGCCTGAAAAGACGTCCTTTGATTCATTGATGTGTGTTGATAACCAGTTGAGATGTGTACTTTTCAGTATGCATATTTTCAGGATTCAGTGGATGCAGTGACAGGGATTGAGGGCCGTAATGAAGCAAGCTCTTATCTACGTACCGTAATCTTGACTTCATTAGTTGGTCCACGCCCCCAAGCAGCTGCGCCTGGCATGCACGACTGCGACTGAGGCATTCACTTTGCTTTATCTCGTGTCAGAATGCGCGCCTTTTGCGTGTTGCGCAGGCATGCCTCAAGCTTGCAATAAACACCTGTGGAAAGCACCAGCTGCTGACCAGCTGCTGCACATGCTCGGCGGCAGCCCGACGGCTGAAGGCAGCGCTTTTGTTGAGTTCGCCTTGGCCTGCAGGGTTGGTTTTCCGCGACATGCACCTTGCATTCATGCCACTTCTGTGTGTCCAATAAACCATGCTCGGCCGTATCGCGTGATGCCAAGATCACCTCGCCCTCTGGCCCCGGAATCTTGCGACCACCAGCACTTTTCAGCACATACAAACAAGCCGTACGCGTCTGCAACGCCGCGCGGTGTGGTATTGATGGTGGGGGTGTTGAGGCTGCATGGGAGCACCAGCAGCCGCCGCACAGTTTGGCAGCTGTTGGCACATGCAAACAAGGAGGGGCTGCGAGGGAGAGTTTGGGATTGTTTGCGCCTGTGCATGCAGAGCCGTTACTCTAGACCTTGCCGCGCCAATTCAATGGTGCTCTGAGGTCGTGTCGAACGGCAGATCATCTGGAGCCCGTTGCCTATTCCTCCCGTGACAACTGATCGAATGGGGAAGAAGTGGCGCCAACAGCTTCTGTGTGCTGTGCCCTGCCATGTTGTTTGTGTGTGTGATGTTTTTGCCCATCAATGGCCAGCTTTGCATGCTTACCTCGGGCTGTGCGTACCCTCAACAGGCGCGCCTGCCACACCCCAAGTTGGATGCCCGCCTGAGGCAAACAAATGCAGATATGCGTGCAAATGCTTGAAGCGCCGCACTCTTCCATCTCAAGCCCTTACTCCATAGGGGCCTGAGCCATACGATGCGGCAGAGCAACCCAGCACGAATGCAGGGCACGCAGCGATCAGCTGCGCTGCTCCCGCACCAGACCTCTGCCAGGTCTGGCGAGCCTGCGAGTGTGCCACATACCTCTCTTACATATGCACCGTGCACTTCATTGTGACACTCGCCATCTGGCTGTGTGTGTGTGTGTATGTGTGCGTGCGTGCGCACATGTGCGCGCGCGCGTGTGTGTGTGCGTGCGTGTGTGTGTGTGTGTGTGTGTGTGTGTGCATGTCTGTGTGTGTGCATGTCCGTGTGTGTGTGTCACAGTGTGTGTGCACGTCAGAGAGAGTGAGTATGTGTGTGTGTGTGTGTATGTGTGTGTGTGTGTGTGTGTGTAGGTTGCAAGGATTGTGAAAGATGTGTGGTAGTGCCTGCGTGCATTGGAAAACACAGGGGGTCCATGGGCACACTATCACGTCTGGTTCTTTTTTGGATTGTACTTGGGTTCTTTTTGTGGTGTACATTTGTGGGCACTGTGCGGCCCGTATTGTGTGTGTGCATGCAAAGGGCTCCTCTATTGCTGCTGCTGCTCACCATGGGAAGGAGTAGAACCTGCCACAAAACTGAGTCACCCCTCCTTTCTTGCCTGGGAGGACGTCCTTTCTGTGCAAAATGGTGCGTGGTGCGCACAGCGCATGCAGGCCCGAAGAGCCGTTGGCGCGGACATTTAGCATGTATTCCACGCTGGTATGCGTCCGCGGCCAGTGCCCAGCGATGTAAGACCAGCAGCAGCAGCAGCAGCAGCAGCAGCAGATGCAACTGTGTAAAGTACCCATGAAGGGTCCCTGGGTGCCCCCTGCTCCCTCATAAGCAAGCGCCAGCGCCCAGGGCCCCCTGCAACAGCTCTACCCAGCCATTGTCTGCAGCCTAGCTTCTATCACCACTTGTATTAACCTGCATTCTTTGGCAGTCAAGATCAATCTTGAATGAGCTTAAAAAGCTGCATAAATGCCACTGTGTAAGGCTGGCAAGGCGCGGCAAGAAGTGAGACTGCGTGCGGCTTGGCTTCCGAGCTGACGACATCAGCACCGCGCGTCGGCCACCTTGCCCGTCCACGCGAAGATGTCAACATGCAACGCCTGCATGTCTGTGCCTGCAAATGGTGATGTACATGCTGTTGGCGAGCCTGGGACTGACCCCCGTGCGAACCCTGGGCATGGAGATTTTCGGCTCAGAGGCGGTAGCTCACCAGTAGCAGCACGAGCAGTCGGCCCATGCAACCGGCCACGGCAGAAATTTGATGTTGCTGCAATGGTGCGAATGGTGTTTATTTTTCAGGTTTGTACTTGTACTCATCGCGTCGGTTCCCTCGAACTGCGACCTGCTGATACGCGCGCCAGCGCTCAGCAGATCTTTGCTGCGATTAGTAGCCTAAGGTTGGTGCGCGCTTCCAAAGATTTGCAGTGACTTGTTGGGAAGCAGTGTACGCGACGGCGGGATGAGCTTGCGCTGTGGCACTGCATGCTGCTCGTGCCGCGCCGCCCGTCACTTCTAGAAGAATGTTGCCTCCATATGGTGTGCGGGAGCACAAGCCGGCATCGTTACATGATGAGTGCATAAGCTCACTGTGATCAATAGCAGCAACTTGCTTCATGCTGCTGCCAACCCGAAGCAGCAACTGTGACACCTGGCCGCCCTCCGCAGTGCATCGGAGCGGGTGTCGTCACGTGAGCTGCGATGGCCAAGCTGGGCGAGGGCGATGCGCGCTGGATCGTGGAGAAGCGTGAGGACGGTACCAACGTGAATGCATGGCACTGGCAGGAAAAGGACTGCCTGACATGGTCGAAGCGGCGGCTGGGGCAACTTTTCAATGGCGCGGTGCTCGTGGACACTCCCCGGGTCAGCAGCACCGGGTGAGTTAGGGCGTCGAGTAGGCACAGGCGGCGGTCTACGACCACGCTGCCAGGTGCTATCACATGCGTATCTGCAGCCAGGAGCATGTGGCCACCACGGATGAACTGCGTCACCATAGTTGCTCAGGGCCAGGGAGACCGCCATCTTGGTCCGTCTGTCCTGCAGACCCCGCCCTTCCCTCAAACGTTGCGTGCAGCCTGGAGTCGCTGACTGGGGAGGTGTTCTTGAACAACCGTAAAGCCAAGATGGTGGCGTCATACGAGCTAAAGCTGACGGTTGGGTGGACTGGCAGCACGCTAGACGGCGCCCAGGCATCGGGCACCATCGAGCTACCGGTGAGCGTTGGTCTTTGGGCTGCTGTCGTTTTAAAAAGCATGAACCATTCATCAATCTGGCAATTTCATTCCTGCGGTGCCCTCACCGCGTCAGCTGCCTCACCATGGTGCATGCATGTCAGTGCCCGGTCTTCGCACTCCCATTCTCGGCGCACGCTCATCGCCCAAAATTCGCATACGACAGTACCTGGCTGATGAAAATGAGGACGAGGACACTGAAGTGCGCGTGGTGGCGCCAGACGACAGCCCCGCGGGCAACGAGCTGAAGAATGTGCTGCTGCGGCAGGGCGGTCGCGAGGTGAGGACTGCACGATGGCGCGAGTGCTCATGGCCGGATGCGGTCGGTCGTGCTGGCAGCATTTCTGAGTGCATCGCCCCATTCACACAGCTTCCTGCGAGTTTACTGGGCTCTCAGGTTGCGAGTGCTTGTTGAGCACAGCCCTGGAAGAGAGTGACCCACCAGTCAACCTCCTGGACTGCCACCAGGCCGTGCGCAAGCTGGTGGACCAATTCATCGCGGAGCTGAAGGCTGGGGTGCCCGCCAAGGAGAAGGGCGGGGCCACGCCCGCAGATGGAGCGGCCGACGCCAGCAGCGGTGGCGCCCAAGCCGCAAACAAGACCCAGGCAGCGGCAGCAAAGGTCGCAGCTCCCAAGGCAGCAGCTGCCATAAGAGGCAGCAATCAGGGCGGCAAGGTGGCCAGCAGCAGAGCACGGCTGGAGTTGGAGAAGCAGTTTTATTGCAGGTGGGCGCGCTATGAATGGTTTGGCAAGCTCCCAGCACGCTGACCCTCAGGCGATGGTGCACAGATTTGCACTGGCCGCTGGCTGCCTGCTTCGCCCGTGCGTGCCACTCACGTGCATGCACCCGCAACGCCTTTCTGCTACACTGCCACGCCTCTGCCGCGCTTCGACCGTCTCACTCCTGCGTCAGTCTGTCATGCCCCTCACCCCCCCCCACCCCCCGCATCCTGTTGCCACCCTCCAAGGCCCTCTGACCTTTACGAGTGCTTCCTCGTGGAGGGCCGCGTGCGTGCCTTCACGATGAGCCCCGCCACCGTGGACCCCCGCCCTGGCGGCGCCTTCACCTGGTTTGGTGGCAGCGTGGAGGGCACCTTCACCGAGCTTGAGCCGCCGCGGCGCATCCTCATGAACTGGCGGTTCAGCAGCTGGGGGGAGGGCGTGGCCAGCCGGGTTGAGCTGGCGATGGAGGAGCCTGAGCCGGGGGCCACGGTGCTGCGGCTGACGCAGACTGAGATCCCCGAAGAAGACCGGTTTGGCAACCACGATGTCAAGCTGCAGGTGAGGCCCAGGGGCCCACAGGTCGAGGCTGGTACACAAGTTGTGCTTGTTCTTGCACGAGCTGCGCCTAGGGAATGCGGTGCGTATTGGTTCTGCGCCCATACAACGCTGTGACACCTCAGGAGCTGCCCTGCATGCCATGGCAGAGCTCTCAACCTGTCGTTTGCTGGCAACTGCCATGGCTGCATGCAGGTGGAACGTGGCTGGGAGGAGCAGGTCTTCAAGCGAATCAAGCAGGTCTTTGGCTTTGGCGCGTAGGCCTTCACAACCTGAGCAACAACCCCTGTGTGGCACATGCTGTGACTCTTGGAGCGCTGCCAGCCAACAAACGGGAGGACCCACCAAACAACACCCATCGCAATACAGGCGTTACTTGGTTCCATGGATGCCAAGCTCCCTCCTCGCGACTTGCGTCGAACAGAAACCACTCAAGACTGAATGTCTTGGTGACAATTGATAGGGACGCTGTGAGGTTGCAGTCAGACACAGGCCGAGCAACCCATCTGCTTACACACACTCAATGCGACCCTCTTAGAAGCGCCGCCGCTCCGTGACGCTCAGCAAATCAGAGAATAGTGTTGCCGGTGACGGCCTCGGCCACGAGGGTGCCCACAAGGCCGATCATGGCAACGCGGCCGGTCCAGAGCTCGATGTTGGTGTCAAACAGCCCCAAGAACTGCCCAATGAGGCCCTCGGCCTTCAGGTTGGCGCCGGTGGCCGCTGCGTGCAGGTCCTGCAACAAGGAGGGTTCGCCACAGTTGCACCGAGCAGTGCGCGGCAGACAGGCGTTTAGTGGCAACAGCCGCATGGGACGTGCACGCAGCACTCAAGCCCACCATGCCGCCACCACGCAAGGCAGCCTGCAGTCGACGGCGTGCCGGTTGGCGGTGGGATGCAGCATGCCTTCCAACACCACATACTGTCATGCATGCACGACAGCACACGCTTGTGCACACCTTGAGGGAGCTGCCAGATGCAAACTTGGGGGCGAGGGAGCCGAGGGTGAGGGTGATGGACAGCAGGATGACGCCCAGCGCATCGGAGCCGAACTGCTCCAGGGCCGGGACCTTGCTGCTGTGCTCCGCCGCCATGATGCCCGCAAAGCCCAGCATGGCCAGGCGGCCATTCAGACGCTGCAGCACAGGGCGCATGCCAGGAGAGTACAACGCAGTGAGCGGAAACCCAAATCGGCTGCCTTCACACCATGAGGCACTGCTGCAGGGGGGATACGGCGCTGCAGGTGGTCTTATAGTCATCAATGAGTTTGTGGGCGACATATTGCTGTTTTGAGTATGCTGCACGAGTGTAAGCGGAATGCCCACTCTGCCGCTCACGGTGGTGGCTGGTTGACACAGCCGCAAAACTCTCGAGCAGGCAGCCCAATTGGAGGCCTACGGACTGCTTGTGCACAGTGCCCGCATACCTCTGGGAGAGAGCCGGCAAACGCAAAGACGTCCTTGATGGTCTCATTGTCCTTCTGCCACTCCAGCACCAGGGGGGCGGAGCTGCTGCTGGCGCTGCTGCTGGGCTCCGCAACCGCTGCCACACGCACAGCAGCGCGGCGTGCAGGGCGCGTGCTGCCAAACGCTGCGGTCCTGCGCTGCGCAACAGCCTGCAAGCAATGCGTTCGTATCGCAATGAAGCCAATGTGATACTGTGTGCGAGGCACCTGGCCGGACAAGAGCACCGGAGGCTGCACTCTTGTTTTCTATGGTGCACCGGCTCCGCTATCCACACAACGGGTAGCTTCGGCCAACCATTCACGATGCAAACAGCCTCCCTGAATTTACCTGGATGCCGCGAGCGGCGGGCTTCAGAGCCTGCTGCATGGCTTTGTGGTGGAGCAAGATCGTGTCGTGAGAGCCAGCAGATGGCGAAGAAGGGCGCGAATACAACAGAATACGCAATACAATAATGTCACGTTCCAATCCGTGAAGGCACAATCTAGCAAGGGACATCGAAGCAGCATCACGAGGCACGGGTGCAGTGGGCGGCCTGCCAGGGATGGCGTCCGGCCATGACTGTGCCCCGCTGCTGCTGGTGCGAGCATCCAGCGCTCCGTTACCATGACAGAAAATGCCCGTTCGTAGACCAAGGTGTGCGTAGCGGCCGCTGCCAGCACCCTGCCCTGCGTTGACCTCCGTGGCCTCACTGCGCAAGTTGACCACATCCGACACCTCCTCGCTCTGCGCCGGCGCCTCAAACCCCTCAGCCAGGTCCTGGCCCCACTCTATCACACTCTTTGGTGGAGTCCATTCCATTGGTTGTCACTCCTGGAGTTGCGACTGCTGCTTGGCCAATCGCACTTGCAGTTTCCAACACCATTTGGACGGACAGCCATGCGAATAGCGTCGTTTGAAACGAGGGCTAATTCGCTGGGCGGCATTGCAACAAACGTGGAGTGTAAATAAACATGGTGCGACGAATAGATTTTTCCCCGCCCGGGCTGCTTCGCATGGCGCCCATGACGCCTCAGATCGCGACATTTCATGCGCTGTCCGGCGTGCGCGACAAAACGGCATTTAAGTAGCTGCATCAAAAGCTAATATGGCGGCTGAATGGTGCAGAGGGAAACAAGGCATGACTTGGCGTACACACACGCAGATGGTGAATCAGCATCGTACTGGTGCAGGGGGTGGTGAGGCAGGCATGAGTAGTGACGGATCAAACGCACAGTATGGCATTCATAAGCCTTGCTGCACGCTGCCTGCAAGGTGCACAGCGTGCAGCATGCTGTGTGCGGACACAATGTATGGACGATTTACGTGTGCCAGATGTCATTGGCATCGGGACCAAGTCCCCAGGAGCCCGCCATAGCGCCCACAGTGCACCTGACTGACAAGCGGCACGCATGCTGCTACCCAACCTGTGGTCCCATCGTGCTACAGTTGTTGCAGCCTCCTTTTCAATGGCGTGCACCATTACCCGCTGGACCGCCGGCGATGTCCACAGGCAGCAACGCACAAAAGTTGATTATGGGCTTGATGGTATTGTGGCTGTCTGTTTTTTGGGAAGCGGGCGCGTATTGATAGACGAGCGCCTTGATACACTCTGGGAGTGAGCATCTTTCGACAAATTTTATTATGGGGAGGGGGGACCAGTGTCAGGGGCGGCCACAACGCTGTGAAGAGTGTGCTCATTTGCAGTTACGGTACAGTACCATGCAAACATGTATGCAAAAAGGGTGGGTGTGGGAATGGGCAGCTGGTTGGGGCGCTTGCGTTTGTCAGTCATATTCACTGGCTTCAAGGCCTGCATGCGGGCAGGTGCTTGCTTTGCATTCTTGATGCGTTGACCCTGCTTGACCGCGGCAGCCCTCCGACAAAACGGAGGATCGGCACTTAAGATCAAGTGTGTGTTCTGTGTGTGTGCCAACACTACATTCGACGAAGCTCCCGCACGCGAGACTCGGCCTGATCACCACACGGAACGTCGACAGATCGGATCGCGTTGATAGGCTCGACACCGCCATGGTTAAAGTCGTGATTATGATTTGAGCAGTTCCGAGTGGCCATCATTCCGAGCGACCTTACCAGTGACCTCGCCGTTGTCACTTGGCCTCATGCTCCTAGCACACGCCCAGCACTGCCCCACCAGCGGCCTCCTTATTCCGCGAGCTTGCAGCCCACTGGTACTGCACCGCCTCGGCCGCCGCGCGCTCCGCACGATGGCAGCCGCGTCGCCATTGACGCCGCACGCCTCGTTGCCGCGCAGTAAGCAGAGCTGCAGCGTCGCGGTTGTGGGCGCAGGCGCGGCAGGCCTGGCGGCCGCGCGCGAGCTGCTACGAGAGGGTCACACACCCGTGGTGTTTGAGCAGGGCAGCCAGCCGGGTGGCATCTGGATGTACGACGAGCGGACGGACGCCGACCCCCTGGGCGAGCGCGACACACGGCGGCGCGCGCACAGCTCAATGTACCGCGGCCTGCGCACCAACCTGCCCCGGGAGCTGATGGGCTTTGGTGACTTCCCCTTTACGCCCGCCGGGATGGCCGCTGCGGGGGCGGCGTCAGCCGACGCGCGCCGCTTCCCCTCTCACGGCGAGGTGCTCGCGTACCTCAGGGCCTTTGCGGCGCGCCACGACCTGGAGCGCCACGTTCGCTTTGGGGCGCGCGTCACGCGCGCGGCGCCTGTCTGGAGCAGCAGCAGCGGTCAGCAGGAGGGGAACGGCGTCGGCACCGCCAGTGATGCATGTGGCGACGGCGAGCCTGTTGTGGCAGGCTGTGGGCCACGATGGGCGGTGACGTTTGAGGTGGAGGCCGAGGGCGGCAGAGTCGAGCAGCAACAGCAGGTGTGTGCAGATACAAGGTGCCTGGATCGTTGCGGATAGCAACTGGTAGCTGTGAAGGGTGGCGCCACCCTGCTGTCACGACGGTGGTCACGTCAGCACTCAGCATCCGGTGTGAAACCACAATGCCCTCCAGCAAACGTGTTCCACCATTTGGCAGAGTAGGCCACCCACAACCACCCCCGTCCCTCTTTAGGAATTCGATGCGCTGATCGTGTGCAACGGACACTACACCGCCACAAACCTGCCTGATGTGGCGG